GAATATAGGGTTGGACGACGCGAGCTCTCTTCCGCCTTTCCTCCGTAATAATCGTTACACCGGATAGTTACCCTGGAAAACGGCTCGTGGCCTCCGAGATTAAAAAATCGATACTCCGACGATATACTCTCCCCCCCGCCTGCCCCCTTCTCAATTATGTTTCATCAGGAAACCTTAATTCGGTACTTTGAACAACGTAACACCGGGAAACGAAATTGCTCACCGGGCGCTCTTGTATCTTTTGGTGAGGCGCGACTTGAGAAATTAAATATCGTTCTCTCCTCTCTTAAACTCGTAGGCTCCTTCTCTCGCTTTCTCTCCTCCTTCGCGAATATCGCGTAACTCTTTAAAAGGGATATCGCGTACCATTTCGGTAATTGTTTTCTCCCGCTCTTGGCCAGGCTATTCGCAATTCCGGATATAACAATTGCGATAAATTAAACTCCAGTTTGTTTATATAAGATATATATCTATATTCTTGCAGCGTATTCTTGTCTCAAAAATAAAAGAAAAATGGAACCACGAATTTTCGTCAAAATTAACGAATTTTAGAAAATATCGATTATAATTTTTTAAAAATATCTTATATTAATATATCATACAGTAATTTTAATATATTTTACGAATTCATTTCTTTCATTAATTAATCATATAATTATTAATACAAGAATTTATTAATTAATATAGAATAGAGATAATATATAGAGGATAATATATAAGATTAATATAAGATATAATATAAGATTTAATATAATATATAATATATAAGACATAATATGTAATATATAATATATCATATATCATATATAAGGATAATATATAATACATAATATATAATATATATTATATATAATAGAATATATAATACATAATATATAATACATAATATATAATATATCATATATCATATATAATATATAATATATAATACATAATATATAATATATCATATATAATATATAATACATAATATATAATATATAATATATTATATATAATATATATATATCACATATAATATATGATATGATATATGATATGATGTAATATATGTAATATATGTAATATATTATATAATATTAAATTTAATATAATATATAAAATATATAATATATAGTACGTGTTATATAAAATGGCGTGTTTTAGAAACCTTGAATCCGAGTGATTTTCCTCGCTATACGCGGATTTAACGGCAGAAAAAAAAAGACACGCATGACAAAGTTTGATATGATATTCTCTCGTCGCGAAATCTCTCTGATACGCTCCGACAACGGCGAACGAGCAGCGGAGAAGCGTCATCACCGTTATCAATTATACGGCGATAAAGCTGCCAAACTGAATTCTCGGAAACATCGAGCAGTTCCGACCACCAAACCGCCCCTTACGCTCGTCGATTGAAATTTATTGACACGCCATAATTACACGCCACGGAAGTTGATTGTGCAGCGTTCTGATTCTCATTAGGCAAGCGCGTGTTTAAGCTCTCTGCAAAATTCGCTTAAAATTCGTATTAAAATCGCAACAGCGACGAGGAGGAAAGGACTCATCGTCCGCGAATCCGGAAATAGCGAACGCTCGTGAATAATTTTTGACATTAGCGTCGATGACTTGTCTTTCGATAAGAAAATCGAACATCGTTTTCTTTCTCGCGAAATCCATACATATTTCGATAATTCGAACTCAAAATGAGACGAATAGTCTTATAATTCTTTTATCACTGACAAGCAATGATTTTTTAGTTAAAGTATATTGCACTGGAAATAGTGCGAATTAATTAAAAGAGTCGATTTTCGTACTAGTTGTTTCAATTTTAAAATTGCGTCTGTTATTTTATAATAAATATATATTTTTTTTAGAAATATTTTATTTTACCAAGAGTTTATTTTTTTCTGGATGTATCACATTTTAAGAATAAAGAAAGAAATGTAATATGCATATAATTCTGAATTTTTATATACTATCAAATCTTACTGTCATAATTAATAAAATATAAGTTAGTAGAGCATTGTGTTTTCAATGAAGTACTCATTCTTATCTCTGTTTTAATTAATGACATTTTTACTGATTCAGGTTACAAGAATAATTTATTCAAAAATAGAAAGAGACTATCATCTTCAATTTTTTAACTCTTTCAACGATTAATTGTGCACTTAAATGTCCTTCTATCGCATCTGAAATTTAGTTAACCCGTCTAAATTTTAGCTCTCTATGCTAATATTCTCAACTATAATTTAACGAGAAATTCTCTATATTGAACTGCTTCAAAAATTAATTACCATATCTAAAAAAATTCAACTATAATAACCAATATTTTTCTTCGTGAGAGGAAAAAGGAACGCTTTCTACATAAGTAATTCCTCTCTTTCTCTCTTTTCTTTGCGGGTTAAAAAATGAGAAAAAACAAAACATAGACTGGGGTGGATGAACGGAGGGCAGAGATCGGCAGGGAAAAGTGCAGCGATATATGTATATATATATATATATATATATATGTATACATATAATAGACACATATACAGGGCACATATGTATTCGTTGCCGCGAACAGGTTAAGCGTTCCCGACCTCTATTTGCGTTTCGTTCGGGGAAACGCGCTGTTTGTCTTCAATTCGCGTGGATCGAAAAATATCGAGGTGGCATACGGGTTAATAGCAGCGCAGACCGCAAAAGCGATCCGCGTTTTGCGAAATGCATTCTCTCTCGACCCCCCTTTCGACTCCCCCACTGCGCGAATAAAAGGCGAAGCCGTATTAGTCCAATAAAATTAAACTTGAAAAGGGCAAAACTTGAAAAAAATTATAATCAAGCTGAATTCTTGTTGAAGACTCTCCATGTTCTAATGAAATCCTGAAAAGTACTCTTAATTTCAACTAGGGCGTTTTTTATGGGGAATAAAAGAAGGTAAATTTTAGTTTTTTGTTATTATCTCGAAAACTATTAATTTTTCGTGAAAAATAGTTATTATCAAAATTGTAGCTCATAAAATTCTCGACAAAAAAGGTCATTATACTTTTTTTCGTACAACTAATCGTTTTTGAGTAAAACGTGTGGTAAAGTTGCAATTTAGTCACATATAATATTATAGTAAACGTGCACATTTTCTTTCAGACATACTTCGCTCTATATCTTCGAAATGATTAATTCCACGAAAAAAAGTATAATGATCTTTTTTGTATGGAATTTTATAAGCTACAATTTTGATAATAACTATTTTTCCCCAAAAATTGATAGTTTTCGAGATAATGGTAAAAAACTAAAATTTACCCCCTTTTATCCCCATAAAAAACGCCCTGGCTAAAATTAAGAGTACTTTCAGAATTTCATTAGAACATCGAAATAAAGATCTCCACAAAAATTCAGCTCGACTATGATTTTTTTGAAGTCAAAGTCTAATTTTACTGAACTATATATCGATAACGCGCTTATTAATCGAGCGAATTTTCCACGTCGTTAAAATTCCTTCCGCGTACAAGTGTTACATAAACAGATCCGGACTGCGTAAAATCCTGAAAATCCTTACGCTCCTGTAACGAAGGCGCGCAAATAATTCTCATTCGCTCTCGTTCCGCGATTCTCTCGAAACGGGAGAAAAAGAGAGATCGTACAGGAGGATCGCGAGGGAGGATATGCTCCGTGTAATAATTCGAGCACCGTTTATTCGTACAAGGGTGAAAGAGAAAGAGAGAGAGAACGCATCAGGAAGGGGAGGATGTGGTAGGAATGCGGAGAGGAATTTCCCCGGTCGAGGACGAGAGAGAGGTGATGTACGTTTAATAACGCGAAGGCGAGAGTCGGATTCGCCCGTTTTGCTGTCGTAATGGAAAGGACCCCGGCGCGGGCCGGTTTTACGACATATTAGTCGCCAAGATCGTAGATTCTTCGGGCGCCCGAAATTTTTTCCCGACACGGGAAACATACCGGGTAAGATAAATCGAAGCTCATGATTCCTCATTTCCGCCATTTCTCTTATTTTCGATTTTTCTATTCTCTTATTTTCTAAGCGCGAAAAATTTTACTCTTATATCCCTTCCTGAAGAGTTACACTTTTCTAAAGAGGGAGGTAAAAATTAAGTTCTTAATTCTTTTCTCAAATTTCAGAAAAATTCAAGACATCAAACTTAAAAGACAATTTTTCACTAATAAAAAGGATGTTTATTAGGGGATGAAACGACCCCTATTTAATTTTGAAAAAATATTTTATTTTTAGAATATACATATATTTATATAAGAAACCGTCCTTAATTAGGGGATGAAACAACCCCTATTTAATTTTGAAAAAATATTTGATTCTTAGAGTATACATATATTTATATGAGAAACTCTCCTTAATTTTCGACACAGAATAATCTTTTAAAATTGTTCGCACTTCTTTAGACGCACCCTGTGCATGTATTTATAATGGGGTATATTTGTCGCGCTTATAATAGGGTATAAATTTTACTCTTATATCCCTTCCTGAGGAGTTACACTTTTCTAAAGAGGGAGGTAAAAATTAAGTTCTTAATTCTGTTCTCAAATTTCAGAAAAATTAAAGACATTAAACTTAAAGCACAATTTTTCACTAATAAAAAGGATATTTATTAGGGGATGAAACAATCCCTATTTAATTTTAAAAAATATTTTATTTTTAGAGTATACATAAATTTATATAAGAAACCCTCCTTAATTAGGGGATGAAACAACCCCTATTTAATTTTGAAAAAATATTTTATTCTTATAGTATACATATATTTATATGAGAAACCCTCCTTAATTTTCGACACAGAATAATCTTCTAAAATTGTTCGCACTTCTTTAGACGCACCCTGTGCATGTATTTATAACGGGGTAGAATATATTTGTCGCGCTTATAATAGGGTCGCAGCTGAGAGTTACTTCTGCAAACAGCTACGTCACGTCTATTTCGTCGTTTAGTCGAAGTCACGGTTTAATAGTGAACGCAATTTCGCGAATGCTAATTTCCCCGAGATTTCGCGACAAGAACAAAATTGCAAACTTACGTGTACAGCGGTACTCCGGCCTCGTCTTTAAACCAGAAAACCATGTGCAGCGTGTCCTCGCCAGGAGGAGTGATGTCACATGGTAATTCGGCGGGCCTCCCTTCCACGACGCTGATGTTCACCAGTGGAACTGAAAACAGAACGTTTCGTTCGTTTAACGATCGTTTCCTCGTCTCCGCGTCGGTGCTTTATTCTGATTAGAAACTCGTACAGGCCGCGTGTTTACGATTAACTTGAGAATTTCTCATTCGCCTACGAGTTCTCTCTGCATTTTGCAAACCCGATGAAATATTAATAATATGGTCGGATGTAATTATACATAATTATCAGTTATTAGATCTTTTATATCTGCACTGAAAAAAAAATCTGTTAACTTGGCTAAATCTTCCAACTAAATTGCTATTTTGTTATAATTGAACACATGTTAGTATTTAAGTCAAATATACGTTTTGTTAGATTTAATGTGTTACATTTAATTTCAATATTTTTATATGTATGTCGAAATTAACGAAATAATATTTATCGTTCAGAAAATTTGGTTTAGAGTCATAGTACATTAAAATATTCATAAGTAATAAATATATATAATATAAGTAGTAGAACATATGAATATATTTTCATACCCCTTTTAGAATTTACATATTTTTTCTGTGTTTACATAAACGATCTTGAAAATAATATTATCTGGACGTTATTTAATAATAAATCGCCATAATTTTATCTAGATATATTCAAAACAAAATCATTTTCATCTCACCTTTATCTAATTAATTTTGCAAGTCATTTAAGCACAACACTGAATATTATATAATGTGTCAATACATGAATACCAAAAGCAATTTTAAATATAAAAACGTGCCGCCACTGAAACAAAATATAAAGGGTTTTTGTATTCGAGAATTTCCTAAAATATAACGGAAAAGAACGTTTGATGTCCATCAGTTGATAGAAAAATTCGTCAAAAACACGCTCTTGGTAGCCGGGTACCCATGCATCGATGAAAAGATGAAAAATTATGCATCGACAGAAGGGTTCATCTTCGATGCGCGCTTCGAAAATAAATTTTACGAACAATTTTCCCGAGCGAGCGTTTACAAGGAAACGAGTGCAGGAAAAAATAAATCGAAAAGCGACAATTCGCGTCCGACGCAAAAATATATCCGAAATATCCGGCCGCGGCCCCGGATAGGATAGGACGATATCGCGAGCGGAATCGGGAGCGCGCGAGATGGGATTAAGAGATTCGGCTTATGAAATTCAGTTTCTCTCTCTCTTTTTCTCTCTCTCTCTCCCTCTCTCGGTGGACAACCCCGCGATATAACGTCGCCGGAGGCGCAATTCAGGCTAGACCGATTCCAGCGCAAGTTGGATCGAGCTCGTTGGTCAGATCGCACACGAGAGAGGGCCAATTCCTTCCGTAAATTTCCGGTAGGCTATTCCCAAGAAACGAGTTTCCATTTGATTCGGTCGGCTGCCCTCGTTCTCCGCCCCCGCGTGACGAGCGGGAAAGAGAAAATCGGGAGGGATAAGGGTGTTTTCCGCCCGGGTGTAGCCCGGGGAAGCTTTCGGGGACTCTTTTTGTCCGCCGCTGACCGATCGAGTCGAGAAAGAAAGCGACCGCGTCTCGCCTCGTCGCTTCCGATTTGTCGCAATCCTGACCCCCTGGATGAGAATGGGTGTCCTTTCCCGAAACGAAAAAAAAAAATTGCATCCTTCGCGTCCTCTATTTCCCCCGCAATCGAGTCGATTCTTTCCTCTCGTTGTTCTGTTTTACCGACTTTAAGTTAGGTTAGATTCACTTTTTGTTGAAAATATAGACATACAGATTGAAAAATCCTTCACAATGAAAGTACTGATAATAATGAATAGTAAGCCTGTCCGGCAACTAATTTTTGCTGTTTTATGCCTCGACATCGATTCTGCACGCAAATATACAAACATAATTAAGGGGATGCTGCCGTCGTTCTGTTTTACCGACTTTAAGTTAGGTTAGGTTCACTTTTTATTGAATATACAGATAGAAGAATCTTTTGATACAGGCTTTTAATCTCATTTTTATTACTTCCGTATTATTCTTTCATGTCATCTCTATTGGGAGCGCCATATTTTGTGCACAAATAAACTGCAGAACTTTTGTATTAAATAAGTATTGTTATGAGCTGACGCAAAAAGCCGATAAAAAGACTGTAATTTTTTAACTTTTATTGTTTTTTAGACAAAATTACAGCGCTCATTATTATCAGTCTTTTAATTGTGGAGAAGGATTTTTCAATCTGTATAACTAATAAAAAGAAAAATCCAAATGGGCTAAAACAGTCCATGTTAGCATCCCTTTAATAATTTTTACATTTTTATTTTCCTCTTTTATTTATTTTAATATCGAAAAATAAAGTAGAGCCAAGCTACGTCAATAATGTACGATAGCATGGAAAATGCTAGGCAAGATATCTCGTCAAACTGTCAGATTAATATCAAATCGAGAGATCTTGTTTCTATTGTTAGATAAACGACATTGAGTCACGGAATCGCATCTGTAGATATAAATAAATTAAGAGTGTATCAAGACTTTGATACAAGATAGTGTGAAAAAACAGGATGACAATTATCCGAAATTAATGTTACAGATGATGCAATAATTTTTCCTTTTATAGAAAAGATAAAAATAATTTATATACATCATCTATAATTGATATTGTATAATAAATTATAAAGTTCTTTTGATTTTCCATAAATCATAAAATACAAAATTATCTGAAAACGTGAAATATTAAAGTATAATGCATCTCTTAATACTTTAATAAATCGATTTCATGAAGTCCTTTTGTCTTTCATAAACGATAAGATACAAAATTATCTTAAAAAATATATTAAAGTGTAATAAATCTCTTAATATTTCAACAAACTAAATAATGAAATCCTCTTCGTTTTTCATAAATAATAAGATACGAAATTATCCGAAAAAAACTCGATTAAAGTATAACAAATCTTTCAATACACCGATAAATCGAATCGAATCCTTGAAATCCTATAGGATTTTCATAAATGATAAGATACAAAATTATCTTTAAAAAAATATATTAAAATATAATAAACCTCTTAATATTTCAATAAATCGAATCGCAAACTTCTTCTACCTTCACCTCTCGCCGATATAATCGATACGACATTATTCTTAAACCGACTACCTACGCGCGTCCTGGATGTCTCCTGGATGTTTAAGATGGAATTTTAAAAAACCTTATCAGCGCGCGAGCAAGGGACAAGTATAAAGATTAGCATAGGCTTAGTATTTATTGCATGCCTCCGGTCTCAACGATGGGGCATAAATATTGTTTAAGGGCGACTCTTTATCATATAAACGCCCCGGCGTATAACGCTACTCATTTGAATTCCTGCTTTTTCCAGGGCATAAAATGGGCTTCGCCGACGCGCAACAAGCCGTTTACTTCCAGCCCCCTGGTTCGGTGGCACAGCAACAGCAAAACCGGGAAAACCGCAAAACCGTCGTCGCTGCGCCCGGAAAATACAAGAAATCTTTCGTGCGGATTCGCGTTACGATTTTATGTATTGTGTGCAACTCGTGCACAACTCACGCTCGATTCAGCATTTTTTTTTTTTCCGCTCTTGTTTAATCGCTAATAAATTTAAGCGTTTCGCAGCGTGCGACTAGGTTTTTAAAGAGACGCAGATTTTCAATGGAAATTAACTGAAATTACGTTGGCTTGAAATACGCAACAGTTCTTTCAAAGTTTTACTATTATAAATTATATATGAATTGTTACAAGAAAATTTCATTATAAATATTGTTATGTAAATCTTTATTATAAAAACATATTCTTCTTTGTTTACTTTCGTTTTCCATAATATTTTTGTACTAAGCCATACAGAATCCACGGAAATATTTTTCTAAAAGAATTAAAACTCTTCTTGTACAATAAATTAAATAAAATTATTTTTGGTTTTCCTGTTAAGATGGAAAATTATCTAAAAAGAATATATATCAAAATAAATTAATATTTCAGTAAATTAAACTTTTTTGTTTTTCATATATATAAAGTTATCTGAAAAAAATATAATAAATCTCTTAATGACGAGATAGAAATTTATTTAAAAAAAATATACAAGGTGTATCTAAATAAGTACGAAAAATTTCAAGAGATGATTCTTTGTTGAAAATTGAGGGAGGTTTCTTATATATACATATCTTATATCCCTCCCTGAAGAGTTATACTTTTCTGAAGAGGGAGGTAATAAAAATTAAGTTCTTTTTTTTCTAATTTCAGACAATTAAAAAAAACTTGGTGGATATTTTTCACTCATAAGAAGGATATTTATTAATTAAAAAGAATAAAAATTTAATTTTTATCTCCCTCTTTAGAAAAGTAACTCTTCAGGGAGGGATATAAGAAACCCCCTTTAATTTTCGACAAAGAATCAGCTAAAATTTTTCGCACTTATTTAGATACACTCTATCAAAATATAATAAATCTCTTAATATGATATTTCAATAAATAAAATTATAAACTTTTTATTTTTATAAGATAAAATTATAAACCTAAAATATATATGTATATATATATATATATATATATATATATATATATATATATTGAAATCTAATAAATCTCTTAAGAAGATCCTAAACGTTCTTGAGAAGTCTGTTTTTTCCTGTTTTATCGACAAAATGTGAGGTTAGATAAACTATAAATCTATTTATTGAATATACGGATTGTTTTTTCCCTGAAATTAGACCAAATCAGACTTGGGATTGAATAAAGAAATATAAGTGAATATTTAGATATCAATTTGGAAGTCTAGTAAACGAGAATAACTTATTCTACATTTTCATGTGTGCACAAATTATAGTTTATCTAACCTCACATTTTGTCGATAAAACAGGAAAAACAACAGACTTCTCAAGAGCGTTTAGGATCCCCTAATATTCCGATAAATGGGATCATGAACTTCTTTTAAAATATCAATTTAATGGCTGATAAATAAAATACTATATCGTCTAGTAAACGAGAATAACTTATTCTACATTTTCATGTGTGCACAAATTATAGTTTATCTAACCTCACATTTTGTCGATAAAACAGGAAAAACAACAGACTTCTCAAGAGCGTTTAG